TAACAACCAGTCCCAAGTTATCTTCATAAAGGTCTAATATAAATCTTTTGACTTTAACTAGATTCCAAGTAAGGGGACTTAGCATGGACTTAGGTATCCCCCTGGCGGCTGAAATGTAAGAGTTATAGTTAGGGCATAGCTCTTATAGATGACGCTCTGACGGCTGGAAACTGATAATCTCGTCCCGTGATTACGCTAACAGCTATGCCGAACTTTTTTGTGCATGGTGATTCTTACACGAAAAGCTATGCTTACCAGCGTGCGATTTTTACTTTTCATCTTAGTTTCCGCTACTTTTAGGTACTTTACCTTGCCAAGTGCCCACCTACTTTCAAAAGGTCAGCGCCGCCCCTGTCAATGCTGCGTGCTATCACCCATTAGCAGCGAGAAATATTGATCAATGAATGGCCATTGCCCAGCACCATTTGTCTTTCCATTGGCTACGTTCGCATAGTATGCAGTATGCACTATGCATTAGTGATGCCAATCACAGAAAATCAGAACACCGCTACCAAACCAAATACAAACAAAGACCATTGGAAAATACCGAAACCGAACCAATCGGTTGGACTGCAAATATCTATCTTATGCAACATATTCATTAGAAGAATGCCTACGTCTGATTTCTTAGGTGCACGCCGTTGCAAATGTATAAAAAACGCACAATGACAGATGACACGAAAATCAAAGTCGCCGAGTGGATTCGAACCACCTACCTCTGAATGATCAGTCCGATACTCTAACCACTTCGCCACGGCGTCAACATGTTACAAATAGCTTAAATGTCATTAAGTTAAAACCTAGCTTCAATAGACGCCACCAAGGGCGAGGACCGAAAGTATGACGCCACGCTGACGTCACTCAGGAGGCACGCTATTGGTCGGCCGATTCGTGTAATACAATTGGCGAATACGCCGCCGGGCCGGGGGTGTTTGAACACCCCCCTGCGGTTTTTCGCAGATATCTCAAAAACGGGGACGTGGAGCGCCACCGTTTTCGGCACACCTGTTTGGGCATCTTTTTTGCACATGTTGTGAAAATTTCAGACCCAGGTCGCCTTAGGTCAGGTCACCAGATCACGCCAAGTGACCTCACCTCAGAAAAATAAGAATGTTCGTCATAGCTACACCGATTGATCGATTGCCTTGAACCTTTCAGTGATTAATTGGAGCAACTTTATCTATAAAATGTTGATCTCGGAATTTTGATATCGGTGACCTAAGGTCAGGTCAATTTTGCGGCCTCTCCATTATAAGTCAATGGGAGAAAATTGAAAAGCGTCTGTTTTGCACGAACGCTATTCTAGACACTCTCAAACATCGAGATATAGGTAAGATTGACACACTGAACCGGAAATAGCAACTGTGACCCCTCGTTATGTCCCCGAGGTCAACTCAGGCCACGAACAGAATCTAACAGTTTTTCGCTAATAACTTCTGGTAGAGACGTGCTAGAGCGCTGAAAACGCCTTAGATGTGTTCGGCTCGACGTTGCGGATCGACTGATATGCAACATGACCTTTTCGGACAGGTCATGACCTTGACCTGAGGTCAAATTTTCAAGTTGACCTTTCAAGGTCAAATTATAGTTCATTCGACGCGTCTCGACGAGAGGAACACGATGCTGGCAAAAGTAATGTCATGGCTCTTTTGAGTCAAAAGCCATTGCCGAAAAAAACGCTTTTCGTAAAAACGGCTATTTTTGGAGTTTTTGCCCTCTGGAGGCTAAACCGTTGACCTGAGGTCAAATCTGAGAACATTATTCAGAAAGGTCTGTGAACGGACTATCGAATGCGCTTTTCCGCGGCGCTGTAGCTCTATGGGTTCCCGAGATAGCCGTTGGCAGTTTCCAAAATGTTGAAATAGTCAACATTTTACCTTTGGTGACCTCTGGTGACCTGACCTTTGACCTGACCCAAAAAATGACCGAATTGTTTTCGTCCTTATTTTGGACGTTCTTTTGATTGCCGCTTACCGCGTGTTGATACGTGGCCCAGGAGCCGAGTTAGAAGGGGGGGTGTTCAGACACCCCCCCCCCCGGCCCGGCGCGGAATCTCAGAGCACCGGCCCGGCGCGGGTTAAAGACAGCCGGAGTTGACTCTCGCAATGTCTGGGGCAGCTCGTTATAGTCAGATATCGCCGAGTAGAGAAAGCGGCGCCTCCCGAACTCCGACCTGATCGTGGGAGTCACCAGTATGTCACTGCTACGGGTGTCTCTCCCGTGTACACTCCGTCTAATGGACAGGTTAGCCGACAGCGCCGTAGGCTCAAACGTGGCTAACATTTTGTGAATCGATACAAGTCGGTGATACATGTACATGCTATCAGCATGAAGCCAGCCACGCTCATCGATGACGTAACTCACGCGAGCGAATTTTTCGTTTTCTAAACTAATTTCTCAATTTCTATTTTCTATCAAATGTCAATTATTTTCAACAAATATAATGTATTATAAAAAGTACCTAATGTATCTCTCCCTTTTTGTACATCATTTAAGAGCAACAAACCTCGAATTGCTTTATTTCTTCCTATTAAACAATTAGGGATGGTGGCCCTTCCCCACACAATGAACAAAAATGTTTGAAAATATTTGTTAGTGCTAAAAAAACCATTATTTGGCATGGTGGCAAAGTCACCCCTTATTCATTTTAACTTTGCCACTACTCATTTTCTTTGAAAATGTATATTTTTAGGCAAGATAAAGATACGATAATAGCAAAACCCAAAGAGCTAATCTTCCTCCGTGTTTTGAACATAGAGTAATCCCAATAAGTTAACAAGTTTAAATACTACAAGCGTCTAAAGTTGAAAACATGGCAAAGTGACCTCCGTTTACGGTAATGTTCAGCCTAAAGGAAAATTTTCAAGTGACTCCAATCGGAAAATACGCTTCGTTCTATCGCTTTTGTGTTTTGATACCACAGTACTTAACACTATGTCACTTATTTTTATTTGTTTGGTGTACTTATCCAAGGGCCAGTTCAAATGAGGTCAACTGAGGTCAAATGACGTTTGTGCCAATAATTTGTCACATAATAAGGATAAAGCATTAAAAATGGCATCATTTTGTTCCTTTTGAACAGCCGAGTAGAATGCTATCCGACATTAGGCATTTCGAACATAAAGACTTAAGTTTTACTTAAGTTGTGCTTAACATTTTAAGTACACTTAAGCTAGCAAAAAAGTATTTCATTCGACGCGCCTTGATGTGCTGAGTTACTGGTGCTTTTGTTTTTGCTCTGTCTTAATTAGATCAAACGTTATAAGCGAAAAACCTTTGACCTGTTTTAGCGAAATTTTTACATTTATACCCCCCAAACCCCCTAAATATTGTTCTAGAGCAAACGAATTTGCACAGGGGCCTTTACCCAGGCTAAATCTTCAAGTCGACACATTTAAGTCAAATTATAAAGCATTTAACCCGCGCCCGGCTGGGTGTCCTGGATTTCCACGCCCTGCTGGGGGGGGGGGGGGGGTTGAACACCCCCTTCTAACTCTGCTCCTGGGCCACGTAGCGATATGCGGAAGGCGGCGTTCGAAAGACCGCCAAAAATAAGACGAAATCACTACGGTCACTTTTTTGGTTACGTCAAAGGTCAGGTCACCAGATGTCATTGAAGGCAAAATTTCGCCGATTTCCGGGTCGATAATTTCCAAGAAGCCAACGCATAACTCGGGAACCAATGGAGATACAGCGCCGCAGAAAAACGCATTCGATAGCCAAATTAACGCCCTTTCTGAATATTTCCTTAGATTTGGCCTAACGTCAACGGTTTTGCCTGCAGGGGGCAAAAACTGCAAAAATAGCCGATTTTTCCGGAAACAGCTTTTCTGCAATAACTTTTGACCCAAGCCTTGTACGAGCTTACTTTTACCGGCATCGTGTCTCGTCAAGACGCATCAAATGAACCATAACTTGACCTTAAAAGGTCAACTTGAAAAGTTGACCTCAGGTCAAGGTCATGACCTGACCGGAAAGGGTCCTATTGCATATCAGTCGATCCGTATCGTCGAGCTGAACACATCTAAGGCGTTTTCATCGCTCTAGCATGCCTCTATCAAAAGTTATTTGCGAAAAACTGTTAGATACCATTCGTGACCTGAGATGACCTCAGGGGCATAAACAGGGGTCACGGACACCATTTTCATGCTCAGTGTGTCTAAACCACCTGTAATTCAGTGTTTGGGAGTGCTTATAATGTCTTTCGTCCAAAAGAGGCGCATTTCAATTTTCTCCCATTGACTCCCATTTGGTCATTAGGAGGTCGCAAAATTGACCTGACCTTAGGTCATCGATATCAAAATTCTGAGATGAACATTGTGTACATGCTATTGCCCTTAGCAATCGCTGAAAGTTTCAAAGCGATCGGTCACTCGGTGTAGCTATGGCAGACATTGAAACTTTTTTATGAGGTGAGGTCACTTCAAGTGACCTGGTGACCTGACCTTGAATGACCTTGGTCTGCCATTTTCACAACATGTGTAGCATTGATGTATGATAACGCTCCGCGCCGCCGTTTTTGAGATATTTGCGAAAAAACCACGGGGGATGTTCAAACACCCCCCCCCCCCCCAGCAGGGCGCGGGTTAACATTTAATACTTAGCGCCAGAGGAGCTTTCCCTGTGAAAACTCCTCTAACAGTGAGGGCGTTGCAAAGTAGCGGCATCTTAAGATTGTGCAGAGGTTCACTAATGACGTCATAAGTCAGTGACCCGAGCTGACCCGAAAATGGGATTGGTGTCAAAAGATCCGGATTAAATCAAAGGTCAGGTATAATAAGTTTCAGCTCTCTATCGCCAGAGAGTTTGGAGCTATTGCGAAAAAAAAAATCTATGGAGGGGGAGGCACCCGCCCCTCCACTCGGCGGGCGAGGGTTAAATAAGTCTGTGATGTTTTGAGACAAACGTTATTCAAAAATAGCTTCTGCAAAAAAATCGATTTCTTGTTCTTTGCGGACTCAGCCGATGACCTTATCAAAGCTAAAAATATTGATAAATACTTACATTCCGCATACTTTGAATATTACTTCAGTTTCATCGGCGAGTATGAACGGCGGACCCTGAACCTTCACTTCAAACTTTGGCAGCACGTATTCTTTGACCCGGAACACCTTTTTATGTACGTTGCTTGTCACGCCGCTGACGTGGATCGTCCAGTCACCCTGTAATAATCCAACAAGAAAAAATCAAATTACCGGAATATCAAGTTGCAGCCTTGCTCAGTTGGTAAGTAACGTAAGAGCCAGGTGGATGCTACTGGGCAGCACTGCTCGCCAGTTCTGTCGAGCGCCTTTTCTATAAATCATGCAATGTTTTGTTTTGCTTATTAGAATTGAGAGCACTCACCAGCGTGGGCTCGTCTGACAGCTGGAACTCCAGCTGAACGAGGCCGCTGCGGCCGCTCTGGTCGGTCCACTGGGCTACCCGAGTACCCAGCGGCGTCTGAATGAAGATCAACGGAATCTGAAAACAGGAGGAGGCACCTCAGCACAATGGCTTATGGAACTCTTAGACCCTAGTGACTGCTATTGTTTAACCCTCGCCCGTATAGTGTGTGTGTGTGTGTGTGTGTGTGTGTGTGTGTGTGTGTGTGTGTGTGTGTGTGTGTGTGTGTGTGTGTGTGTGTGTGTGGGAGGGGGGGGGGTCGAACGAACCCCCGTTCGGTTTTTCGCAAATAACTCGCGTAAAAAGCGGATGATCGCGACAAAACTTTCAGTATCCTCGCGTTACTCAATTTTACACCAACCCTGAAAATTTCATGACGATGACCCAAATGACCTTTGACCTGTGACCTACTTTTCGAGACCATGTTTGGCCGAAATCGTGATACGGTGTATGTCGGCTCGCATTTGCCGCGCGTTTGCAGTCTTTTCGTGGTTTCGAGCATTTAAACATGTGATATGATGTTGCCCCCATGCATTTGGGTGGGTGTCAAGGTCACCTGAAAGTCAGGTCAGGTCATTGATCTTTGATGACCTCGGTTCACTTTGTCGAAATTTAAATGTCTGTCTCTAGGCTAGTTTTTGGAGCTGAATTCGAATTTGGCAACCATATGAACATTTACGAAGTAGTTTTGGTGCCTTCGTAACATGTTACGAAGCTATCAGAGGCGGTTGACACCTACTACAAATACTCGGCAGGACCCGTACTGGTTGACCTGACCTGACCTGACCCGACCTGGCCTAAATGCATGAAGACATCATCGGTGATCAGAACTAACATGATATTCGTGATCAGCGCCCTGAAAAACCCATAGCAGCCACACTTTACAATGTTCTAACAGGTTCCGATATTCCCGACTTTTGGGTTATCAATATCGACCTGACCTGGAAGGTCACCCGATGATCTAGGACCTTAAAATTGGGTATCATCAGCTTTCTCTCGTGACGGGCAACACGCTCGTTTTCTCCGCGAAGCTCTAGCTCGATCAGGGGCCAAACGCGAGGGGGGTCGTACCACCCCCCCCCCCTTGTGCCGTCGAAGGACGCAAAATGGCCTGTGCCGGCGAGGGTTAAATTTGCATATAATTGGCTTCCTCTCATCGCGGGCAGCACGCTCGTTTTTTCCGCGAAGCCCTAGCTCGATCAGGGGCGAAACGGCAAGGGCGGGGTCCAACGGACCCCTTCCCCCATTTACGTTCGCGGCTGAAAAAGCACCAATACGGGCGAGGGTTAACCCGCGCCCGACTGGGGGTCGGAGGGGGGGGGGAGACTATTCAGAGCCTCTCCCGTTTTTCTGCAATAACTTCAAAACTCTTGTAGTATCGGCGCTAAGCTTTCAGTACCTTCGGCTTCATCAATTTGACATCTTGTGTCAATATATGAACTTGTTGCTACCATAGGTCGGCCGGAAATGACGTCAGAGTGATGTCATGTTCGGCCGATTTTGACACAAAACACTGAACCACGGCAATCGCTCCAAAGAGCATAGTTTTTAAGCTAGATCCAATTTCTTTGCATGAGTGGACTCAGAATAAACTGCGCCACCAAACTGCTATCTCGGATTTTCAAAATTTGGAAAATTTTGAAAACAATTTATTTTAAAGTTCAAAATTTAGGTATATTTTTAACTTTTTTTGAAAGGCTTTTGATGTGCTTTTTGAACGCGTGCCTATGACTTACTCTAGCAAGTTTTAGGCAGATCTACAAAAATGGCCAAGTTATAACGCATTATAGCAAAACATTCGCAATTATAAATTTTTCAAATCAATTTTTTAGCACGTGTTAGGTTTCAATGAAATTAGGTTTCGCTCGACAGTTTTTCCGGGGCTATCAGACGCTGTTTGAATTTTGACGATCGGCCCGGTAGTTTCGGAGCTAGGAGGGGCTATGAAGAGCCCCCTAGTAGCCGTTTTCACGACGGCCATCTAGTACACATTTGGTGTACATTTGGTGCAGATTAGGTGCAGATTTGGTCAAATTAGGTTCATTGTGTCTAGTTATTAGCTAGGGCTGCACTAATTCCTTATATGCCTGCTTTGTCATATTATTAGAAAGTATCATCGATGAAAACACTGAAATAAATTCGTAAAATACAGATACTTGCTGTAAAAGAGATTAGGTGCAGATTTGGTCAAATAAGGTGCACTCGCCGGATAGCCCGTCGTGAAAACGGCTAGTAGGGCACGTTATACGCAGACCCCAGTGGGGCACGGGATAACCCCGCCCGTATGGGCGGGGGTCGAACGGACCCCTCCCCCTCGGTGTTTCGTAAATAACTCACGTAAAAAGCGTTTGATCACGACGAAACCTTCAGTACCCTCGCATTATTCAATTTTACACCTACCCTAAAAATTCCATGACCCTGACCCAAATGACCTTTGACCTGTGACCTACTTTTCGAGACCATGTTTGGCCGGAATCGCGATTAAGCGTATGTCGGCTCGCATTAGCCGCGCGTTTGCAGTCTTCTCGTGGTTTCAAGCGTTTAAACATGTGACATGATGTTGCCCCCATGCATAAGGGTGGGTGTCAAGGTCACCTGAAGGTCAAGTGAGGTCATTGACCTTTGATGACCTCGGTTCACTTTTTTCGAGTTTTACATGTTTCTAGGCTAGTTTTTGGAGCTGAATTCGAATTTAGCAACCATACGAACATTTACGAAGTAGTTTTGGTGCCTTCGTAACATGTTACGAAGCTGTCAGCGGCGGTTGACACCTATTACGAATACCCGGCAGGACCTCTACTGGTTGACCTGACCTGACCTGACCCGACCTGACCTAAATGCATGAAGACATCATCTGTGATCAAAACTAACATGATATTCGTGATCAGCACCCCGAAAAAACAGCAGCCACGCTTTACGACGTTCTAACAGGTCCCGATTTTCCCGACTTTTGGGTCATTGACCTGATCTGGAAGGTCAACTAATGACCTAGGACCTTAAAATTGGGTATCATCGGCTTCCTCTCGTCACGGGCAACACGCTCGTTTTTTTCCGCGAAGCTCTAGCTCGATCAGGGGCGAAACGGCGAGGGGGGAGTCCAACGGACCCCCCCCCCTATACGTTCGCGGCTGGAAAAACACTAACGGGCGAGGGTTAAGCCAGCTATTTTCAAAAATGGCCAAGTTATACGCATTATAGCAAATTTTTACAAACATAATTTTTTTCAAATGATTTCTTTAGTACGTATTTGACATCGTACACCAGAATAGATAGCACCACTGTCGTTCAGAGCACTAACTGCATCCGACAGACATGCTTTTTGTTGAAAAAGTTCAACTTTAGAATTTGACTTTTTTACCTTAAATGGGCCTGACCTAAGCTAAATTGAACTCAAAATGACCTCGAATGACATAAACGACATCGAATCGAAAGCTATGTCCTAAATGAACCATAAAACATGTGTCGCGTGACCGACGCAGGATGTAAGATTTCCGTGACCTGTGATGACTGGACCCTGACCTGAAAATCAAAGTACAAGTTTGGTACCCACAGGGTATCTAAAGCATCTGTTTATGAGTGGGTATTCCAAAAATGAGCCTGATCTGACTAGTAAGACGGCGGCCAGACCCCAACATGTGAACAAGCCAAACATCGATAAATATTAATTTGACCTGACCTGTGACGCAATCGGTGACCTCACAGTCAATGAAATTAGGTTTCGCGCGACAGTTTTTCCGGGGCTATCAGACACCGTTTGAATTTTGAAGACCGGCCCAGTAGTTTCGGAGTTAGGATCCCCCCCCCCCCTGTAGGGCGCGTTATACGCAGACCCCAATGGGGCGTGGGTTAAGCGTTATATGTTTTATAGGAGGATCATTACGAAACAACTATGTGCCTTTGTTGTAGCAGTGTTTGTAAGTACGAGCGAAGACAATAACGTTGCGGCCGGTGACAAGGTATTTATGGCGTACGTTATAGGGACTGGGTGTGCCAACCAGAGGGTACGCGGCCAGTAATGGTTTCAATTGAGCTCTATTGCGCCGGCGCCACACGCCGAGTCCGCTGGCTATGTCTGCTGTCTGCAGCCGCTGCTGCACCGAAGTGCAAGGCGTCTGCAGAGAAAAGGACAGAGCATGTTCGTACGGAGGGTCCCCAGAGCCGGGCTTCATTGGGGGAGCACGCCGCGCTCTCTGAGGACCTTCCGTCTTGCAGTCATCAGTGGCGTCAATGCCAATCAAACTCGACAAAGGCGCTGGGCAGTGAAATAAAGCCCATTCATGGGGCTATGCTATTTCGTCCTGAATCGGAGAGTGATTAGAGCCCCACACCAAAAGTTAATATCATCAAGATAGAATGCATTATAATTAGTTTAAAAAGTCTCGTGGTTCAATTATTTGTGTAAAATTGATGCTATCCGTATCTTTACCAAAAATAAGCCCAAAAAGAAAACCGAGCACGAGAGACATTTCTTAACCAGCGCACCGAAGAGGGGGGGGAGGTGGATATCCGCCCCCCCCCCCTGAGGTTTTTCGTAGATAGCGGAAAAACCGGCGCCGCGAAATTTAGTACGACTATTCTCTCCTCAATTTTACACATTGCGTGCAAGTTTAAACCTCCTAACTTTTAAGGTCAGGTCACCAGGTCACTTTGAATGACCCAGCCTCATGTCACTTTTTGCAACTTTGTCACCGTGCCAGCGCTACAGTAGATGTCGGAGGCCTTTGAAAGTCGCAGGATGTTATAAGATCATTAGTAGCTACAATTTGTTTATCTCGGAATTTTGATATCGATGACTTAAGGTCAGGTCAATTTCTCGACCTCCCAATTATAAGTCAATGGGGAAAAAATCAACACCCTGTTTTACCACTAAAAGGGGTCGGAATGGCCCCATAAACCATGTATGACTTCATATACGATCAAACTTCACTACCTTGAGGTCTGTTTTGCTGTTGGGCAGCTGTAAGGTCATGTGACGTCATCAAAGATCACCAAAGGTTTTTTGCTAATAACTCCATATAGGAACATGATACAGCCGCGCGGATGGTCTCATTGTGTTCAGCTCGTCAAGACGCATCGAATGATATACATGATGACCTCGAGGTCACGTGACCTGAGGTCAACCTTTGACCTTGACCTTTCGAGGTCAACATATATATCATTGGATGCGGATTAAGAGGATCACGATGACGCCCTTAGTTTGTTCCTATCTTGACAAGTTCGAAAGTTATTCGATAAAAACTCTCTCCATACCTAGCGCAGCCATTTTGACTTTTTTTACCCCTGTGACGTTGTCTTTGACCTGACCTGAAAATGATCATTGTAAAAACTGTAGACCTTGTCCGTGCGTATCCTATGCCGTTTACCGCTTGACGCTATCTTGCTTCGTTCTCGAGATCTCAGGGGGGCGGTCATCCGCCCCCCCCGTCGGTTCTAAGTTGGCGCAGACCCCCGTCGGTGCGCGGGTTAAGCACATACCGTCCCTGTTATTTAGCATACTATCAAGTATGAAGCGCACTACAAATCATGCTTTAGCTTTGCCGAAATGGAGTCCCTATTTCGACACCATAGCTACGCACCTACTGGTACCGTTTATGTAGTTTCTGATCTCGTTATTAGATCCGCCCTTGGCGTCACCTTCGTCTAGTATTGGACTTACCGGCTTTGTTACCGGTCGCAGCTCAGAGTCGACGGAGAAAACGCGAAACCGCACCAGCTGCCCGGGCTTGTACACAAACTTGTCCGTCTGCACAAACAACTGCTCCGGCTGGTCCCCAGGAGACGACCTGCAATCCAGAGCGGAGTGCTAAACTCAGCAGATAGGTGAGTGACAAATGCCACATACATAGCACTATATAAATACACCGTACCAGCGTGCCCTAGATTTTATAAACTCCATTAATGATCTTTTATTGATTGAAAAGAGACAAATGGTAGTGCGATAAAATGAAGACAGATATTCCTAAGTATGAGGAGCAGTAGGCAGATACTTACGCATGTCGTATATATCTTGAGAAAAGGAAAGTGCATAACACATTCAGGATTGTAAAATACCTGATTTGTCCGTATCCGGATTGTAAAACAATATCCGTATCACAAGATGTGGGGGAGAGTGGGGCTATGCGTTACACTTTTTGGTCTTCTGCACTTAGTGGCCAAGCTATTCAATGAAATTGCACCAAATTTAGTTACATGCTAGCTGAATCAATTTGGAAAGCAGATGCAAACTTTCACTTCTTTAAGACTATTCACTTTTATGTGAAATTCAGAAAACCAAAGCAAGATTTTTGGGGTAAGTTGAAAAAATTGTGGGGCAACTTGATACACGATATGGGGTAACATGTTACACTCCTTTTTTCGTAGTTTCTTCATCATTATAACTGTCATTGGCCGTCCTATCGGAACCGATCGTAAGCCTCCTTAACCCGCGCGGGGCTGGGGTCTCCAGCCGAACGCGCGGGGCTGGGTGTGTGTGTGTGTGTAAATTTTACCCCCCCCCCCCCCTGTTATCTCCCGAACTAATGGTCCGATTTGGAAAATTCAAACGCCAATCGAAAGATCTCATCACGAACAACTAAAAACATGTACTTAATTTTAAGTTTGAGGTCAAGGTCAAGGTCAGGTCAAGGGTACAAATTGCAAGTTCCTACCGTATCGGCCTTGCACCATAGTTGCCGAAGAATGGAGTCATGGACTGAGACTGATCGCCCAAAACGTGTTCTTAGGCTACCAAGACAATATTCGTTGCATACAATATCATTCAGAGGTCAAGGTCAAGGTCAGGTCAGGTCAGGTCAGGTCACCAAAAACAAAATATAGAAAAGGGCATGTGCGACACATGTTTTATGGGTCATTTTACTCATAGAATTCAATAGGCACACTCAATAAGTGATATGGACCACCTCTGGATGAATTTCAGGTCGAGGTCAGGTCAAGGTCAGGTCAAGTGAGGTCAAATTTTGAAGTTGGTTGTTAAAGCCTAAAAAGGTGTATATCTGATGCAGTTTTTTCACGGCGAATCGAATGGTGCTATATTTGTTTCCGTACGAGGTCTAGAACTTCCAAAAAAAGTCTTTTTCAAAATTTTTGTGTGTCGTGACGTCATACAATTTTGAATAACTCCCACATTTTTGAACCGATTCTTCTAAAACTTGGTATGTAGGTGCTCATAGACCACTTCTCTGACATACATTCCGGTTTTTTCGATACACTCAAAATTGTGGATTTAATAGCTATTTTCCCAAAAAAGTCAGTTTTTTGAAAAAATTGGGGCCAAATTCCAAAATTTTCAAAAAACCGAGATGGCCATTTGATAGAAAAGGTAGAATTACGTATATCCTTTTTTGTTACGTCTTGATTCCTTTAAAAATGAAGATGTTAGCGGCGTTTGAACTTTTGCCGTTTTTGAGGCGAAAATGGCGAACATGACGTCACTAAAACGTCAATTTTTTCAAAAATTTTCCGACAGATGTCGCTCAAATTTTCAGGGAACGTGTCAAATTGATGTAAGAAAAGGTACTGAAAGTTTGGCGGCGCTGCGCGCCGCCGTTTTTGGGATATTGCAAAAATTCGCGAGGGGGGTAAAATTTACCCCCCCCAGCCCCGCGCGGGTTAATGGATAATACTAAACATGCTTTCCTTTCTCATTGAAAGGCAAGAACAATAAAGCATAAACCATTACTGTACTCCACACGCATGAAAAGGCTCATCAAACATGGCTCAATCTCTGATTTGCCTTTACTGCGACGCCAAGGGCACCATGCATTGTCATACTGACCGGAGTTTGATTTTCTGCACGAAATTTACGCCCAGGTGAAATGGAGCACGCTATAAGCAGTCTTAGGTAGCCATCTTTAAACATGCCCCGGCCCTGCGGCGGCCGACTTTCACAAGACTGAACTCAAATGTTTGTTTACATGAAGAGACTAGTGCGTTTTACTTGGTGACCTTACAAAAGAAATCATCGCTTAACTTTGTGAATATACATTCAACATTCCTACACAAATCACCTTGACAAAAACGACCCAAAGTGTTGGCCAGCAAAAAATACTTTTGCTGTCACAACTTACCCCAGTGCGCCTACAGGGCGACATGGCGTTCCACCAGGTCTGAGCCTGCAGTGACATGTAAAATGTGCGTAACCTTTCTGCTAGCGTAAATATTTGCGCCATATCAAGAGAATTTTTAAAGATATTTCCTTTGTAACAACTTACCCCTGTAACAGATAGCCCCACTCTCCCCTGCCTAATAATTTTGATATCAATGGCAGCATGATACGATGATATAGTCCGCAATCGCAAATGATAGAAAGCATTTGCATTGCAAGAAACAAATAGGGGAAGTCGGGGGAAGCCCGGGCGCGGGGTAAGCCCGGCCACCCCGTTTCCGGCTAAATTATTCACAATAAAATGCTCAACTGTTTGTCCTTTCAGCGTGGCAGCTAAGGTAAAGCCAGCAAAAAAGTTAAGGCTGACAAAAATTGCATATTGTTAAAGTTATAGCGCAAAAATGATATTTTAAGGGTTTTTAGCTAAAAAGTGAGATATCTTGCACTGTTAATGTTATACCATACAGTACTAATATTTATACGAATGTTATGTAAGGACCGTTTAAGTGTTTGTAGTGAGGGGTGACGAGTAGAGATTGCAATCCCGGGATCGGGATCCCGGGATCCAGGCGGGATTTTAATCCCGATCCCGATCCCGAAATTCCGCCAATCCCGGGATCCCGAAAAATCAGTTTTTCACCATAAAAAGAATGCAGCCGCTGCACGAGTCTTGTTTACACTGTTCATGGTGCTGCGTGACATAAAGCAGAGAAACTATTTAGCTGGCACCCCGCATCGGCCGTCCACAATTGACCGTGGTGGTAGCTCCCGGGTATCACCCACAGCGGATAAGCCGCTTAAATGTGTACGAAAAAGGGTCCCGAACGCCAAAAAAAAAAAATTGCAGCATCAGTGCAGCAACATCTCTATCAGGATCACGGACCGTTCAGCGATTCTGACTTATCCGTCCGTGGCCGGAACAAAAGAGGTCATCAAGACAGTGTTTGAGCTCGTGTCGCAGAAAGATGCCACAGATGTGCCCGCAAGTGACGGCAGAGCTCACTGATTCAAACGTTGAAGACGGTAGAGTGAAGCTCTCCCAGTCAGTGACTCTGCCCTCAAAGCGACTTTGGAGCAAAGTCTGAGCAGGGTTGTATACCAATCAAGTCGATTGAATTGATTGATTTGTTTCAACGCGTATTTTGAGTTGATTGGATTGAGTCGATTGACTTTTCGAGATGACTGGTTGACTGACTCGTTTGACTTTAGCGACTGGTTGACTGATTTGATTCCCGAAAATTAGAGTGACTCGTATGATTGAGTCGATTGAATGGAAAGTTCAAATAAGTTTTAGTTGACGAAAAATAATGACACCAATTGATGACATCAAAGATCACAACACTACACTGAAAACTGCTTGTCATAACAACTGCAATATGGGTAGATGGCCAAATAAAGAACAGGGCCTAAACATGAACAGCCAACTTTGACTTTCAGCTGCAATAACTGCTCCAATCTTGGTGATAGAACCTGGCGATGCACCTACCTACCTTTCTGCACTCAGCAGAAAACGTTTTTTTTTTTAATCCAGATGATAAAGTGCAAGGCCCTATATACTAATAAAGTGTAATAAAGTTGGGCACTAATGGGTTAATTAATAATTCACATCTCCACATCTCCTCAGAAACAACCCACTGAACTCTATAAATATCTGAAACCCCTACAAAAATGACTGAAACAAAAGCGCCGTTTTCGTCTCGCTAATTACGTTTACGTAGTACGTACCTAATTAATAGCTAATTTGCTGCATTGTTTAATTTGCAGCAGAACGTTTGTTGATCCTTTTCTCCTGAGAGGCTCAGCATAACATATTTAATATATTTCATTTTCCTTAAAATATTTTACCGAATATTATTAAGTGGTTTTATTTAAAATGAAATAATAGTTAAAACGAAATTGGTGTTGTACAACCGATTTATTTTATGATGATCTACCATACTACATGATAATCAATGACGTCATCTTACCAAAATATCAAAAGACGTAGAATAAGGATTTATAAAAGCTTAGCATATTTATTGGCAAACAAAACGTTTTCGTTTCGCAATCGCACCCAAGGCCCTATATAGAATCGCACCGTGCCGTTTTCGCGTTTTTATTTTTCTTGTTCCTACTTCCTTTGTCCTTAACTTATCCTGTGGTTCTAGAGTCCCTGTCCTCTCCATTTCCTTTTAAATATATTTCTAATCCTCATCCCTATCCCCCAGTCCTAACAGTTTCAAATTGTATTGCAATAAAATGTTTTGAATTCTTCACATAGGTACCTAACATTGACATGCCACGTCCAGAGTCGTGGACCGCTAAATACTTCAAATCTCTTCCTTCCCAATCTGACAACATCCCACGTCTCAAATGCACATTGTGTGGAAAGATTTTTTTCAGGCTGCCCGTCAGTCTCTGTCTAACCGAAACCGTCACATGCATGATGCAGGTAAGATATTTATTTCTATTTCCCTATGGTTAATATGTTATTGATGCATATTAATACATACTTTACGGTGCGTTCACTGGAGATTAACCGTGCGTTAATTCGAAGGTAGCCGTGCACCAATTTAAATTGGTGCACGCTCGTGCAGTGATGAATTTCTCGACTGAAGTTTTTCGGAAGGGTCATTGACTTTCTTCTAAGAATTCCCATAAAAGGCCCTTTTAATGTCATGAACTAAGATTACTTTTAAT